TCAAGATACTAACATGTTTCGGACAAAGTCTCTTTCTTAGTACAGCGGCTATTGCTATGGCAACGAGAATTGCAATTGGTATGATAACTGCCAACATCGCCGCTGTTAAAACAATGACAAAATGTTCATATATTGTGTGCTACAGATATAGAAGAGAAGGACACTGAGAGAATGTCATTATTGTAGGGCTTCATGTCCTTACTGGTCTACAAATTACAATAGACATTTAAATGTGATTTATAGTTTCAATGTAAAAAATGTAAGTGTATGATAGACAACAAAGGTAATCTCTCTACAAAGCCAGGCTCTTTGGTTGAAAATAGTCTGGTTGTTGCTAAGAGAGTGATAAACATTTTGTGAAGTTTTTTTAAATACTCTAAAACTGCTTTTATTCGCCAGATATTAATTTTCGCCATTTGACGCGAATGATTCTTTTCGCAAACAATTGTTTTCGTTAATTCATTGTTATCAAGACTATAAATGTGCAGCCGACATTTGTTCGCTCTGACTCTACAGAACTGTGTAAATTTGTTCGAGAGATCGGTAGTTTAAACCAGGTGCGGTTAAAGAAGTTAAGGAAATCTGATATTTCGTTACATCTCAAACTTGGCTATATTGGTTATTCTAACCATATGATGAGTAGCTTCGTTATTTTACAATATGAAATGATTGTTGTTATAGAAAGTTTCAAGTTTTTATAATTTGTGCTATTTTGTTAATAAATACAGACAGTATTAATATAAAGGTATATAAGGAGGTCAATGATTTCTTACACCTCGTGGTATCTTCCGTGACTGAAACAGTTATAGTAAGTGTTAATCTTACAAAAGTATAACTAATGAAAACCCAAGTCATCATTGACATTTTAATAATGTGGATATTGAAAAGCATTCTTGCAACTTACATGATATATTCGATCTGGCCATATATGTTTAATTAAGAATTTAGGACAGGTATTTTCTCTAAAACATCTGTATCTCACAGATTCCTTAAACTATTACATATTTATAACTAAAATAAAATTTTAAAAGAAAGTCCTCAATCATCACTGGCGGTTAACTAATCTATTTCCGTTATCAGCGTTTATTTTAAATATATTCGTTTGTACCTATACAAAGTAATTTTATCACCTGTAAAATATTAAAACAAACAAAATATTGTGAACCTTGATAATTGGCATATATAAACGTTGGTAAGAATAAATGGGAATAATTGGTTCCAAATTACAATTGAAAAACATAGCTTGTGTTTCATTGCAAAACATCCTTTCAGCTTAAATTCTTATAAATCCGCTACGAGAAATTATCTCATTACTGTACTTAAGAGAAAAGGATTGGAATTCTCTTCTAAAATTAATATACAAGCAATTCATTTAATTACCCCTTACGATGCTTACGGTCACTGATACTACCCATGCAAACAGTGCAGGCAAAGATCACTCCGCGCGTCTGGTCATCATCACTGATCCCTAGTAGGTCCCCAAACAAGTGATGAATGGGTCTGTCAAAATTCAAAAAAGGACAAGTCCATTCAAGATGGCGGAAAGGGTTAATGAGTTCAAATAATCTATTCATTAGATTCACATTTGTCATAAGTGATTAACTGAAATAATATTTTACTAGTATATACTGTTTACAACTTTAAATTACATGTTTAGGAAACACATGGGCGTTTTTAAAGAGTCAATGAGACAAATAAATGGCGAGCAAAAAAAAAGTGTCATCTAAAAACCAAATGCAAAACAACTGACAAAGCAAGAGTTGATGTTAATCCTGTACCTTGGTATATTTCATTTCGATTCCAAAGAAAACATCCAAACTCCTCACAGTTTAGTAACTCAAATATGTTATCCGCATAGACATATCATAATAGAAAAATATCAAATTTGCCAACAATATATTTGATAATTATGCAGAATTATATGGAACGGGGTTATAGCAAGATTCAAGAATTCAATTTCAGCAAAAACAGGAAACAAAACAATATTTGCACTAATAGCATTCAGGTGTATCCAAAACCTTAATCTCAGTTTTGTACATCAGAATCTAAACATTGGTTTATTGAACACCATAGTGGGGTTTGCGGATTGTTTCCCTTGGCACCATATATTTTACAACAATGTTTAGAAGACTGACTTGTCTATAACCGAAAAAAACTATTTTATGTCCGATCTTTAAATCGTATTGCATGTTCCCTCATTTCTTTAGGTTCATATCCTGTTAGGGACTTTGGATACTTTCATGTCAGAAAGCTGTCGAGCTAGCTAACGTAACATCGGTGGTTATACTTAATACACGGAAAGGCACCTGATCAAAACCAGTAAAGCTGGAATGTCGCCTTAGAACATTAACAGTGTTCGGGAGACGGGCAGGACTGATCACTTATGTCGTTAGAGCAAAGGTGCAGCCCTTTTACTTTTGTTATTTCGTAAACCTTTGTTTCGTTGAATAATTATAGGATAAGCCTTACTCCTTTTTGTTTCCAATATTTAAAAAAAAATCTATAATAAATCCTCTTTTTTAAAAGACATTTAACATTATCATAAAATAATGAAATAACTAGTCTTGATATGGATACTTTATTGTTAACAAAAACTAACAAAAACAACAAGTTATCATAAATTGATAATTAATCTATCCCAATTATTGTAAGGAACATTCTATCAAAATAAAACTTTTAACACATCTATAATGATTCTTTAAGCAAAAACATAAAGCAGCAAAAATCTAAACTTTATTAAGAGGATGCGTGGAAGGTTTTTATAATTGCATGAAATGCATAGCCTTGACAACGATATCACAGTAAGGGTAGCACATGGCCGTAAACAAAGCGCTTTATATATGTTATACGAAAACATGATTTTGGGTTATGTCAGCGTATTTGAATGCATTATTTCTGTGGAAAGAAAATATCAAAGTTTTGGATTGGGTCTACAATTGGCACATTTTCAATTTGCCTTTCAAATATTGCTGACAACAATAAAAATCTATCATTTTTTATATTATTTCAAAATATTATCTTCTTGAAAATAAATATTGATCTAGTATTAAGTGAACAGAGATGGATGTACATTTATTTGATGATTAATACTATTTTGTTCTAGAACAATTAATTATCTGCTATAAATATGTTATAGGATCATGTATCTCACACATGTCAACAACATTCATATATTTATAATTCGTTCGTGGTGTGTTGTCACATATGTTACTAGATACGTTCAGCACAATTATTCATAGTATAACATACGTTTTGTTATAGATCAATTCTCTTTATTGAAAGTGGCATAAATCTTGATGTGTACTGCCTTAAAAAGAAAGAAAATAGTATTGTGATTTCCATGCAAAATACTTGTTTAGTATAATTATACCATTTGCCAACATAAAAAATAACTGAAAATAGTTCATGAATATAGTTAATAAGTATTTTGTAGAAACTGTAACAAGATTCCACAAATAAAATGTTTTTAAGAAATCAAATTAATTACGTTTCTGAGGCAACAGTGACCTATAAGTACTTCAAAATATGGTACAAATTAAAAAAGAAATTTTATACGTTTTCATACGCTCAAAAGAAAAAACAAAAATAAATAAACAAGCTACATGCCAGTAATTGGCACACTGATATTTAAGACATTTTGTAGTTCTATATTCAAACTGTAACTGACATATTACTTGATACTGCTGATACGTACAAAAGCACAGTTTACATCATAACAAAATTAGAAATTACTTTCCCATTGAATAATTACATTAGTACAAAACACTTTAAATTTTTTCATAACTTATGCTTAAAGATATTCGAGCATAGAATTCTTATTTCATAGAATAATGCCGTGTAATGCGGCTTTATCAACCAATAAGAATAGATTTTATAAAAGGAGACAGACATGTTCATTATAAACGGAAAAAATCAAGATCAACACATTGACAAACAAGCTTTGGTCGCATTTATTTCGACATCTTGGATTAAATCTAATCATTTTACGAAACTGCATCTCTATGTGTTATATTAAATGTTGAATTTATAATTTTAGATAATAACAAGTGTATTATCGTTTGTTACTTTTTTAACAATATGTTGAATTACATAGTATATCTTTGTATATACTAGAACATCTATGTGATTAAATAAGGGTAAAATGGTCAAGGTTAATAACTCTTTATGCGAAAGCATATAAATTGGTAGGAAAAATATCAATACTTAATACTGAAATATGTTTTCAAGGTATTTGGTACAAACATTTCCGACAACAAGGTGGACAATGAGGGCCGTGATAACCTAGTCATCATCTAAACAGAAGTTAGTTTCCATTTCATATTTTCTTCAGGAGACCAGGGAGAACCATCATGAGGGCACGTGTGGTTTATCTACAAATAAGTAAGAAAACAAATAGACAAAACTCTATTCAGTCTTTGTGTTACAAATTTATTTAAAAGATATTGGCCGATAAAAAATGGGTCTGCAAAGAAAGTAGTAATGTCACTATCAAAGTTACTAAAAAAATAAAATAAAATCCAGAAAAAATCCTTCTTTCATGTCATATAATATAAATAAGATTACACAAATATATTTTAATCAATACCTGAAAGTTGTTCATCTAATAAAATGTTTATACTATCTGGCTGCGAATAATCAAGAACACACACATGCAATTTTCATTTCTTCTTAGACAAGGGGCTCCAGGTGAGAAATAATTTAAAACAATCACAGATAACAGGCATATATACGTATATATATCAATCTTATAAAATCATATGTGCACAGGTGCGCTTTTTTCTTAATAACAGCTTGAACATTTCGCTAACTGTATATGACTTTTCTTGTATGTTTTCTCAAATATGCATAACGAATCTTTAATTTACGGATGAAATGGTTTTTATATCTTATTATATCGGTTTTATTCTTCATGACATAGGTAATATGTATTTTTTTCAGTTTATATTCATGTGGTGTATAAGAGTTTATAAAACTTTTTATCATATCAGTTACTGTCAAGCTCAGTTTATATTCATGTGGTGTATAAGAGTTTATAAAACTTTTTATCATATCAGTTACTGTCAAGCTCAGTGTGTTCAACATCGAAAGGGTCGTCAACTGAGGCAATGTCTATTACCGAAGGTCTTCTAACTTTCGGCTGAACAGCTACAGAAGCAACCGACCCAACAGTTCTCCAGGAGGCCCGCGGGTCAAATGTCTTTATGTTAGGTTGCCCATTATAAAGTGAACTTGAACCTATATTGTTATTTAGTGGGGGTAAATGTCCATTTGGCGACATAAACGGCCCAGAAACAGTTTGGCTGAAATTTGGTGTTCCATTCACTGCATGCATTCCATTAGGATGCCTGTAAAAATCTTGATTTGGTGTGAAAACACCTTCCTGTGAATAATTCTGTTGACGCGGCAATTCGAAACCTTGTTTTGCTTTTATTCCCAGTAATGCCTTCTTAAACCTTTTAGATTTTTTGCTTCCTGATCTTTCTCCTGTAGTTTCCGGTGATATTTCTGTTGGACTTACACTGTTTCTATTCTTTTTTGTTTTTGGCTTTTTCTGAAATAGTTCCAAGAATTGAAAAATGTACAATTGAATAAAGTATACAACAAATGAACTTTACTTCCTCAGAAAAAAATATGTTATTGTCCTATTCGTATTAAAATAAAAAAAAAATCAAGTATTGTTTTGGCATACTTTGTCATATTGCACTCAGTTTCTTGCCAGGAAGCGCTTTTAGATATTTGTAGAACGAAATTCAACTAATTGACTCAACACTATACGGGTAAACTATATGGTATTCTTGATAAAAGGAAGTGGTAAGTGCAAATGGATTATGTTGTGTTGAAATAGAATTGTGTTGTTTTGAATTTGAGCAAATATCCTATTAAGTGATGAACAAAACTTGGGTTGTTGAATGAAACGGTAAACGGCGGATCAAAGAGAACGATCAATTGAAAGATGTATCTGTATTATTCTCATAACTTTAGTTATCACTTTCTTTATGAAAGACAGTCAATAACGCAAATTACATGATTCAGTGATAGTCAAAGACTTGCAAACTAAAGCGAAACTAAAATATAAACGAACACTTAGTCAAAAATATGGTGACTTCCTTTTCATAATTGAAAGCCTTGTGTCAAGTTCATTTTCCTCTTCTTTTTTCCCAAATTACATATAAAAATGAAATAACTTACAACTTCACAACACAATACACCAAATAAATCTAGCGGACAGAATGTCAAAGTAAATTCAGATTTTCATTTTTGTAAGAGTTAAAATCGTGTTAGATAAGAGAAGTTTAAAAGAAAGTCACATAAAGATCTTGCCTTGTTCAAGTTGTTGTTCATCTCCAACTCTTCTTTTAGAAGGTAATCTACCATATTTCCTGTATTCGATCCTTTCGGTAATTTTCCAGAATATTTCATATTCATTGGTGTACCGGCTACACCTGGTGGGCGAATTATTGGCGGGAGTTTGTTCCTCGGATTGTGCTCATTAGGTAGATTTCCACGGAACTTTTCGTTAGACGGAGACCAACCAGTGTTCAACCAAGGTGGAGGCATAGCTTTTGGTACTTTCACATCGGAGGGGACGCCGCTTCCGGTGTATTTTACATTCATAGGGTTTGGCCCTTCAACAACTGGTTTGATTGGTACCGCTGGTTCCTGTAAAATAAGTAATTATTGACTTACTTACCAGATAATTTATCTGAATAAGGCTCTATGATATTAATGTCATTAGTTTATATTATGAAGATGATTGCTCACCATGGAGCAGCTGAGCATAATTGAGAGCAACAAAGGGAACTATTTGAGAAAAATTGAAAAAGAGTGAAGATTTTTGCATGCTTATCTTTCCAAGTCTTTAACACATGAACTAAAGATTCCAGAAAATCCTAGCTTCTAGACGAAGAATTTCATTGAATAATCCGTATACTAAATCTCCGGGATATTTTTTAATTTTTATACGTTATTACAAACGCTAAACAATTGGATGTTCACAAAATAAAGCCGAGCAAACAATGTTATTAAGACAGATATTAAATAACTGTCTACTTTAAGCTATTTTAATAGTTTTGATCTTAAATTCAAATACTAAAAGTAACTTAAATTATACGTCATGACATTTAAATTTGATTTTTGAGAGATATTTTTAGGTTTATATTACCTTTGTTTTGATTGTTTCAGTACTGCTGGGCTTTGGAGCAAATTTGCAAGGTTTTTAAAATAACGTATTTGTCTTATTAGCAATATGTGGGTAGTAGATAGCTAATTCTCATAATTGTAATCACTTGGTACTTAGACTTTTGAGCGGCACATGTTTTCTAATTATGTTTCTGTCTGTATTTAATGAAATGTTAAAGTCTCAATATTACCAAGGATCTTATATGAACATGTGAGTTAACTAAAATGTCAAGATAACTTCATAAAGCACTTTGAAACATTCTCTAATTCTAAGCTTTATATGTAATAAGAAGGATTATTAAATGTCTGCATAACCAAAACAATATATACACGATAATGGTTTTAATTATTTCCTCTAAATACACAATTGAGTATCTTAAAGAATTAACAATCTGCTATATTGTTACTGAAGACATGTTATATTTTATCCTCAAACAGTTTTAATAGGTTTAACAAATTTCAGAACAGAACCAATTTTAAAATTGTTGTATGCTTAATATGCTTAATACCATAACATGATGGTGTGTTTATAATTAAATAAATTCTGCGAAAAAAAACTTAAAAAAGAAAGTTCTTTATGAATTGACAGCATTGGTGCAAATAGATCATATAAACATCACGATCATACAATAAAAAGTATTGTCACAAATGAGTAGCATAATATATCTTCTGGGCCTGGTTATGCATACCTCGTAAATTACATAGAAAAGATTTTTCAAAAGAGACAAAATCAAGATACTAACATGTTTCGGACAAAGTCTCTTTCTTATTTTGTCTTTGAAGATCCAGAATAGTAAAGCGGCTATTCCTATGGCAACGAGAATCGCAATTGGTATGATAACTGCCAGCATCGCCGCTGTAAAAACATTGACAAAAATGTTCATATATTGTGCTACAGATAAAGAAAAGAATGACACTAAGAGAATGTTCTTTTTTATAGGGGTTCATGTCCTTACTTATCTACAAATTACTATATGCATTTAAATGGGATTTATAGTTTCAATGTAAAAAATGCAGTATTTTT